ACAGAATATCATAGTAGAGTCGAGTTAACAAGAGTTGTTTATGCGTGCATTGATTCGAGTTAACAAAAATTGATATGTTTTATAAGTCATACTTCCGATAGCATTCTGATAGAATTATTTCATTCCGATAACATGCAGAGTTTTGTAAGGCATATTTATATATCATTCTAATCGAATACTTTCGTTAATAAAATATTCTGCAACTTTTCTTTAAAAAAATACATAATTTTATTGTTAAGTAGTTAATATAATGTAATGTTGGAATTTTTTATATTTGGAATGTGAATATAGTACCGTTTTCATGTTTTCCCTTTATCATGTTTTTAAAAAAAATCAAATCGGAATCATTTATTTTTATCAATGATCCCTAATATCAAGGCTTTTAATTTGCATAGAATCCGTTTTCATCCCTATCTAGTTTGTATGACATTTTTAAATATTTTGATTTTTTAACTAACAAAGCATAGACAAACACTCTCGGAATTTCTTAGCAATGGGCGATCAAGAAGCAGATGTCAATAATCATATGTATGAGGAACATTATTTGGCTAGTGATGATGGAAATGGAATTGAAGATTTCGATTTTCCTGATAATGATACACTATATAATGACGAATTTCAAACAGGAGAAAGCAGTAATCCTAATTTAGGTTAGTTTTTTGATTTTTTGTTTAATTTTTCATTCTGTTTTCAGATTCTATATTGTTAATACTTTCATTGCTGAACATACAGAGGAGGCAAATAATGATGAAGACGAAAATCACTTTGTTGATGAAGATATAGAGGTTAATATTGATTACAGTGAAGGTAATAAATTCAATTCATGATACTGAAGTTGCTACAGAAAAAAGTTAATATTGATTTCATTGAAGGTACCAATTTCTTTCAGAATGATTATGTATTTTCTATTTTAAACAGGACAACCACATGTTACTCATGAAGATACAGAGTTTAATATTGATTTCATTGAAGGTACCAATTTCAATTCAGAATTTTTTATTTTTTATTTTTTACAGAAAAAATAAAATTGTGTCAGAATAAAAGTTATATAATTCTTTCATAATAATTTTGTATTTGCTATGTTTAAGCAGGACAACCACATGTTACTCATGATTATGTTTCTCCTGGTGGCACCTTGTATTGGACTCCGATTGTTTTAGACGACATCAAACCAAAAGTTTCATCAAAATTTAATTCATATGGTGAAGCAGAAACAATGTATAGAAAATATGCATTAGAATCTGGTTTTGATGTCAGGCTTGGAAGAGTCCAAAAAATGAAAAATGGGATTATTACAAATAGACATCTTGTGTGCAATCGGGAAGGTAATCCGAATACTAGTAAACTAGATACTCTAGATATTCAGCATAAGAAGACTCAAAGAAGGAAAGATCTATTTAGGAGGAATTGTAAAGCGAAAGTTGTTTTAGAAATAATTCCCGGTACTCTTACATATGTCGTGAGTGATTTTGTAGAGCGACATAATCATGAGTTGTTTAGCAAAGGCAATATGCACTTATCTCGTTCAAAAAGAAAACTTGATTATTCCCAAGAAATTTTCATTCATAATTTGTCAAAACAGAACATTGGTCCTGTAAAAGCACATAGACTGTATAGTGCTCTTCAGGTTGGTCCTTCGGTTCGAGGTGGATTGGTTACTGATTTCAAGAATGCTAGGAGGAATCTTAATTGTTACATAGGTGGGAGGGACGCGAAATTCCTTGTTGACAAGATGAATGATAGGAAGAAAAATGTCCCATCATTTACTTTTGAGTATAAAGTGTCGAACAACAGATTGAATTCTTTATTCTGGGCTGACGAAACAGCAAAGTATAATTACAATTCATTCGGAGACGTTATATCATTCGATGCCACATTCAGCATGAATAAGTATTTATAACCTTTAATATTTTTCAATAAGAATTTCATTATTTCCATTTATGTAAACTAATATTTTTTTTTAAATAGGTATGATATGGTTTTTGTACCGTTTACTGGCATTGACAATCACAAAAAATGTGTAACATTTGGTGCTGGTCTTTTAAGTAAAGAAGATGGAGTTTCTTATGAATGGTTGCTTAGAGCTTTTTTGAAAGCTTTTAGAAAACAACCTCAATTGGTTTTATCTGATCAAGATCCAGCTTTGAAAAAAGCTATAGATAAGGTTTTCCCATTGGCACATCATAGGTTATGTATGTGGCATATAACGAAGAAGTTGCCAAATAAGGTATACATAAAAAGAATACTATTCTTATTTTTTTGGTATGATTATACAATTGTTTTCTCATATTCTGTCAGAATGTTTTGTTTTAAACAAAAACATTCAATTGCATTAACTCGTAACTTTTCTTATCATTCTACAATTTCTTTTAAAATTCTGCATTCGTTATCTCATATTCTAACATAATCAATTCATGTTAACAAACCCATTGTCTTTAACTCTTACTTTTTGTTATGATTATACAATTATATCGTATTCTGGAAGAATGTTTTGTTTTAACCAGAATTAATTGCATTAACTCTTAATTTTTCTTATCATTCTACAATTTCTTTTAAAATTCTGCATTCGTTATCTCATATTCTCACAGAATCAATTCATGTTAACAAACCCATTGTCTTTAACTCCTACTTTTTGTTATGATTATACAATTATATCATATTCTGACAGAATCAATTGGTTTAACTCTTACGTTTGTTCTGATTCTACAATTAATTTTCCACATTATAACTTCATGATATCATATTCTAACAGAATGAATTTATACAGATTTTATCAATTGAAGACGCAACAACCAATCAAAAATTTCGAAAGCGTTTTCACTCTATAATTTGGAATTCTAAGTTGGAACCACATGAATTCGAAAATGTGTGGCGTCAGATGTTGGAAGAGTTTAAAATTACTGATAACACTTGGATGAATACAATGTATGGATTGCGAAAATCTTGGATCCCCGCATTTTTCAAGCACATTCCAATGTCTGGTCTTATGCGGACTACATCGCTGTCTGAAAGTCAGAATTGGTCATTTCAAACAACGACACTAACCGGTTCTTATCTTGTTATGTTTATGATGACATTTGAATCAGTTATGGAACGACAACGACATAACCAAATTCTCAATGATTTTAATACTGCCACCACTTTTCCTAAATTCATTACCCGTACTCCGTATGAACCTCATGCTTCAAATGTATATACACGAAATATTTTTTATCAGGTTCAGAAGGAGATATCAAGATCTGAAGATAATTGTTTCCAAAAGAATGTGATATCTTCCAACGGTGTTGACACGATTATTGTTATAGAGAAAAGAAAGAACATAACTATTAGGCAAACAAATGATGTCGATGTTGATGACAAAGATGAGGAATACAATTACGATTGTCTTATAAGGGATACTGAATACATGGTATGTTTTTTTTCACATTAATTGTCATTTTATCATTTACATTTAAACACTAAAAATTTACAACTTAATTATTTTCACTAATCATCTTATATTTTCCAGGTCACACACTCAACTAAAGATGGTTCATTCAAATGTACTTGTATGCATTTTGAACATTTAGGTATCTTATGCAGACACATATTCTGTGTGTTTAAGTTTTATGGCATCGAACAAATTCCTGAAAAGTACATTTTGAAACGTTGGCGTAGGGATGTCATTCCAACAGAATTACTGAAAAGACGCTTCAATAATTCTTTCGACGATTCTACTTCCGACATGACTGCTATTGATATTTTTTCAACTGTTGACCGTTGTGTGTCTTTTTTGAGCCACGATGCAGCAAAGTTAAAGTTATACCTTGACGAACAGAATAACTTGAAAAAAAAATTCGTAGACAACTGTTCAAATCATGATCTACCGACCAGAGCAGATCATTTCAAGCAGCTTTTAGGTGTGGTTGTTCCTGATGTAGAATCTGATGTTAATGACATTCAGAATCCTACAGATATTCGTAACAAAGGCTGCGGTAGTCGTGGAAAAAGATTAAAATCTACAAAAGAGATGATTGAGAAGGAAATCTCGAAACCAAAGAGAAAATGTGCTATATGTGAACAGATGGTTCATCATGACAAAAGAAATTGTCCTCTAAAGAACACCAAGAAATAAGTTCCTTGTTTTTTTTTAGTTTATTAGAATGACATTTGATTTAATTCTGTCGATTCACACTTATTGTTATCTTTTATGTCGTTCAATAAAGTATTCACTTTTATTACTATTGACATCGACATTGTCAATCAACATAACAATATTCATATTATCTTATTACTTTAAAATACTCATAAAACGTAATACAAAAATTCATTCCATCGACTGTATAAATTCATTATTTTCAAAACTTCTAATACAAAATTTCCATCGATTGTATAATTTACAGCAACATATACAAATTCTTTCAATCATTTTAAGTTTGATTTTAATGTTAACAAAAATGTTTTATTATTCACTGTAATATACAAACGATACATGCAATTTGTATACAAGAATTCATTATATTTATATCCTATTTCATAATATCTACATAACGTATTCTACCAGAATCATAACAAATACTACCTTGCATCATCATCATATAATTTGTAAAAAAAAAAAAAATTCTATTCACAATAGTCACAAAACATTATTAACCATAACATTGAATTATATTAACAAAATTATTAGAAACAAAAAAAACATCAACACATGCATTAGTAATATTAAGTTGCATTATATGAAAACTACATTACTAACAAGAACCATAGATTTTCACAATGCACAACATCATCATCCCAGAATTTAAACAACGCATCAACACACCCATTATACGAAAATTACCATTCCATTATAACATATATCGAATACTACTGATAACATTACTTCATAACGTCTGATACACAATCTACTTTTTCAAACATCTAACATAAGGCAGATTCATGTTTCAACATTAAAAAAAACAAGTTCAGCTCATGACATATCAAAGTTTATCTGTCAACTTATTAAATACCACGCCAAATTCTTACCTACGACCCTTTGTTTTTCTTTTTTTCTTCCTGTTTTCAGCTGACTCTCTTAGAAGCATATCTTGTTCCAAAATATCAAGCTTACGAAACGCTTCAATATCTTTAACTATCATACTCTTGAACTTATTGAAATCAGATGTCAACAATCTTGCCATGTATTTTGTCCTTAGCTTAATTGTAGCACTCACATTAGCAGGCATTTTACCTGTAAGACCACACTCCCAACGCCCTTCATATTCCCCCATGTACGTTTCCATATGCCTCATGAGGTATATTCCACATTTGTTCCAGCTTTTTCGACTAGCCAAGATATGTTCATCACACGTGCTGCTTTAAAAGTTAACGTTTTTGCCATTGGATGATGTTGTGATGTCAAGTAGTTGCAAAACAGTTTTTTCTGGCATTAATTACAACAAATACATAAAAAATAATCTTATAATATTCCTTAGAATGGAAAACTATTAATCAGAAATTTATTGATTATCTTACCACCAGGTTTGGTATCATGCCATACTTTCTTTCCAAAGTTCCTGTTCTCTTCACATGATCTACTATGTAGTACAAACTTGATCTCAGATCAAAGATGAGTAAGTAATACTTTCCATCATCAACTATTGGGAAGAAAACCTTGTACACATTAAAAGAAGAGGTTACGTTAATATTAATTGATGCCACAAATATTATATTTATAAAATAATCTTACAAGTGCAACGTCTCTAAAACTTGGCTTCACGTCAAATTTCTTAGTGTAGATTCGCAATAAAGTAGCAAAAAGCCTACATTTCATATCTTCCGACTTTAGCTCATTCAATATATCTTCTGTTTGAAAAACCCCAACTCAACATCAATATTAATTCTACAGAAATAAATTTGAATTAAAATTTTTTTTTACAACATAAATTCATACCACAATAGTTGTATCGAAGAAAAATCTTGAAAGCGATGACTCATCCTTGTAGTTTTCCATTTTATTTAAAAACGCAGCCCAACAATCAATTATTTTAGAATGCAAAAACATTCCATGATTAAATTGATATGCAAAACCCTGGTGCAGCAAATGACCTGTTCCAATGTCCCAAATCTCATCCCTGTGAAAAAAAATATGTATAACATCAATTTTAAAACATTCATTTTAAAATTATAGATAAATATAATAGGTGACACATATATAAACATATATATATATATATATATATATATATAAATACATACCCATCATCTCTTGTAGATGCAAAAACTGAATTGCATATCCATGTTTCATCCTTAGACAGTTTTTCCCCAACCTTAACAATTCTTTCAATATAGGGCGAATTAAATACTTTTGCTTTTTTAGGAATACGTTTTTCCCTTTTGTCATTATCATCATATCCTCCAGCATTATCAACAGCTTCTCTTATATTTCTTCCTACCAGATTATCCCTACTGATTACTGACATTTGCTTTTTCTTTTTATACACTTGTAACTCAGTTTCCTCCAACAACTTGATCATTTCGTCATTCACCCCTGGAAGTCGATGAAACTGAGTCATTGTTAAAGAAGTCGTATCAACAGGTGTGGTATAATTGTCGTCCTTTTCAGTATTTACTTCAGTAAGTATCAATCCTCTAACAGGTGAACTATTTCCTTCACCGCCATCACCTACATCATTCATATTTACCTCATTAAAGCAGGCAGGCTCATGCACTTTTTGGTTACCTGCCCCTTTAAATACTCCCTTAAAAAGTTCATTCATTTTCTCCATCCACTCATTCAGCACCACACTATGAGGGAATTTTAACAACCCATCCTTCAACGCAACCTCCATAGTACTTTTCTCTGTTACAATAACTCCATAACTATGCTCTATAACAGCTGCGTATGCCTGAAACACATATAATTAATAAATGATAACATTACAAAAATGTGTACTATATATTCTATTAGAATATATCATTAACTATTACTTTCATAATATTTACTTCATAATCTACCATAATATTACCTCTTCATCTCCAAAATCCCTCTTAAAGCTTAGCATTTGCTGTTCTTCAGCTCCTGTTTCATCGACCATATCGACATCATCATGCTCATCCCGAAACTGCCTCCCGAACCCTCCCAAACTGATTTCTAATTTTTGAACCTCTAACAATTTAGCACCATTTATATGCCCAATAAAAGGAAGCCTTTTGTCTATCTTGATAGAATACTTCATGTTATACACGTACACCAACTGAAAAAAAAAACATTAACTTAATCAATACATCAATAATAAATCGATACGAAATATATACATTCATATAAAAATATTTCAAACTTACAATCAGAAGTGTAATAGGACCACTGTAGTAGCTTGATTTGTCATCCCTTTTCCATAGTTTTTTTCTAGATCCCAAACAATCAAGCATATATTTACACCAATTTAACTTTGAGAAGTCTTCTACCAACACCAACTTCCTTACCACTTTTATTTGATTTGTTCCCATCAACATTGACTCTATGAAGTTGTTAACAAATAGGGTCAAAAAATTCAGCCTAAACATCAAATTATCCTTCGTTGTAGCCTGAATCCTTCTTAAATACTCCTCACCATTGAACTTATCACCACTATATTGTCCCCTCCATTCTTCTAGAATTTGATTTCCCTTATCACACAATGGTAACTCATTGATGTCTTCTCCACCAAATGGCAACCCCATCATATCATGCACTGTTTGTTCTGTTATCTCAATAACAGAGTTTTGTAGGACAAGTCTTTTACTATCTGCGTCATAAACATCTAAAAGATAGTAGCTAAGTTGTCCCGAATAACTTGTAATATTCACTTGCAGAATTGATCCAAAACCCATCCTCAAGATTGCTTGTTTCTGTTCCGGCGACATTCCCATAACAGCTGCAGTGATGTTATCACATTTCATTCTGGTTGGAAGGTATCTTAAACCAGGTGGGTATTCCTTATTTGTTTTTCTAACATTATCTTCTTTTTCTTCTTTGACGTTTTCAGCAATTCCCTTATTTTTAAAATGTTTTACAATTGGAACTCTATCAAATTGCCTCTTCGACCTTATCTCTCTTTCCAAAATTAGTGCATTTAAAGGTTTAGGAGTTGTCTTTTGTTCAACTGATTTATCAAGTTTTTTCTTTGACCTTCTTTCTCGGTTCAAATGTTCTTCTTCATGAATTTGATCTGCTACAACAAACAATAGATAGCATAAATTTTCATTACAGAGTTAACTAATAAAACAAGTAGGCTAACTCTACAAGAATCAAATACATTTAATTTAGAATTCTATCAGATTCATACAATCAAATTTCACACTCATATATAATATCACATTCTATTTAGGAGTGTTTAATAGTCAAACAAGTCGACTTATGCTAGCAGAATATCAACCATTTTCAGTTTCATATACACAGAACATTCTTTTAGAATATGAAACATCTAAGCTTATTTCACATACAAACACTTAGATATAGAAATTTAGATTACAATTCAGCCAGAATATGAAACATGTAACCTTATTCTACATACAGTAACTATCAATTCTTCAGTATCATTCATTAATCATCTACATACTATGGTTCCATTAGAATTAAAATTATATATAAAATGCTATTTAACTGCTTCAGTATAGAAATTTATCTTACAATGCTAACTAGTAAAACAAATACACTTATTCTATCAGAATATCAACAATGTTCAAGTTCTTCTACACATTACATTCTAATAGAACGTGTTTTTTTGCCTACTTATTCCACATACAACAACTATGAATTTTTCACTTAAACATGCTAATTAACTATTTAAATTTAAAAAATTAGATTACAACTCTACCAGATTATTAACAATATTTAGGTTGACATACACAAAACATTCTATTAGAATATAATGCTATTTAACTGCTTCAGTATAGAAATTTATCTTACAATGCTAACTAGTGAAACAAATACACTTGTTCTATCAGTATAGAAATTTATCTTACATACTATGGTTCCATTAGAATTAAAATTATATATAAAATGCTATTTAACTGCTTCAGTATAGAAATTTATCTTACAATGCTAACTAGTAAAACAAATACACTTATTCTATCAGAATATCAACCATGTTCAAGTTCTTCTACACATTACATTCTAATAGAACGTGTTTTTTTGCATACTTATTCCACATACAACAACTATGAATTTTTCACTTAAACATGCTAATTAACTATTTAAATTTAAAAAATTAGATTACAACTCTACCAGATTATTAACAATATTTAGGTTGACATACACAAAACACTTATTCTATCAGAATATCAACCATGTTCAAGTTCTTCTACACATTACATTCTAATAGAACGTGTTTTTTGCATACTTATTCCACATACAACAACTATGAATTTTTCACTTAAACATGCTAATTAACTATTTAAATTTAAAAAATTAGATTACAACTCTACCAGATTATTAACAATATTTAGGTTGACATATACAAAACATTCTATTAGAATATAAAAAATGAAACCTTATTCAACATACAATGACTATGATATAACAACTTAAAGTTCAGAACATTTTCAAGTTTCTTAATAAAATACGAAATTTAAACACATTTTTCTTCCAAATATTACAAATCTACCAGAATATCAACATTATTCTGGTTCATATACAGAACATTCTATCAGAATATGACCATGTAACATTATTCAACATACAATAACTACGATTTTTTCAGTTTTTAGGTACTAAATCATATACAAATTGTGATTCCATTAGAATTTAAAACCTGTTTAAAAGCTAATTAACAACTTAAATATAACAATTTACTTTACAATTTTAACCAGTAAAACAAGCATACTTATTCTACTAGAATAACAACCACGTCCACGATCATATAAACCGAACATTCTTGAAGAATACCATACACAGTAACCATTCTTAATAAAATACGAAAAAATGACACATTTTTTCTTCCAGACCACAAATCATACATGCATATAAAAGATTTTCAAAAACACTTCCTAAATTCTACTACATTTTTCGAACTAAATAAACATTAAATAACACAATAAAATTATTACCTTCAGTTTCAGCAACGTAATCATCATTGTCGTCTTCAAGATTCAACGCCGTTTCTACTGTGTTCTTGAACTTTGACTTAAATGAACTGGATCGTGTACTCCTCATTGTTGCAGAATACCGCTAATATAACCCCCAAATGTCGATTTCGTTTTCTAGGGTTAAATGTCGATATTTATAGGGAAAACCTACAAACGATCTTCCGATTTTTGAAGACTGATTACAATAAATCGGAATGTTTTTCAACCTCCTAAGGATTTGGGTTCTTGATTATGAGAGTAAGCGAGATATTTGGGATTATCGGTTGATCATTCCATATTATCCACCGTTTCCTAATTAAATGACGGGGCAAAATACCATTCTACCCTTGTTTGACCGGTCAATTGATTAAACCTCATTTATTTGATTTTTTAATATTTAATTTAAAAAGAAAACCACTTTCTTAAATTACCACAAATGATTGGCCTACATTCATTTACATGGGCACACAATACTTATCAAAAACAAAATAACCTAACCCTATATATATATATATATATATATATTGCCAACCTACTATATAAATGTTTAAATTTTCAAAGGCTCGTTGCTCTTTTTTTTCAGCGATATAACGATGCAGCCCAGCCCAATAAGAGATACAAATTGGGCATCTTTAATTCTTTATTCACCTTCCGTCGTCCTCCGCTGTCCGCCCTGTGCCCTCTGCACGAAACAACGATTCATTTTTTTTTTCTGTAAATCTTATAGACTGTTTAATCATCGTGTAGAATCATCTGAAAATTTGAAAGGTTTGCATATAGGAGTTGCGTAATGGCTACGGCTTCACCTGCTTTAAGCAATACTAGTGCGGATACTACATCAAACACCGGTTACGCCAGCTCCGGCGCTGTAAAAACCACATCTACCGCCACAACCTCTATGGTGATGAGTAATTCGAGCATCAATACTTCTAAGAACCTCCGCGGCCTTAACAAGCCCAAATGCATCAAGTGTGGCAATGTCGCTCGTTCCAGGTCCATATCGTTTCCTTTGATTTCAAGTAAATATTGGTTTTTCGATGTTATTTTCTTTCTTAATTTCACTTTATATTTTCGGAACAGATATTTTTCTGCATGTTTCCGTTTGCGTTCTTGTATAATTTGCATAACGAAAGCCTAGGGTTTTGAGGATGATAATTTATGTTTCCGCTGCCAATAGGCGACATGAATAACATGAAAAAAATGACCGATATGAAGGCAATCTAGCTATAGCGACTGTATGAAAGCCTAGGGTTTCAGCTTCCACCGTGTTATGTCCAAAACACTAAGTATCTCTAGTGAGTTTGAGAATTACAACCATAATGGATTGAAACGATCAAGCTAACGAATAAATTTGGAAGTGAAATAATAAAGGAGCGTGGGTTTATATTGAATAAGTAATTGTATCTGATGTAAGACTAGAATTGAAAACAAACTAAAAAAAGATCTAGAAGCTAAATCCTGAAGAAATGAATATAAACTAATTATTAATTCCTTAATCACTTTGGATCAAGGTCTTATTTCTTTTGAGCCTTTGATATTCAGGGTGGCAGAAAACACTTACGTACAAGTGAAGCTGTTTACAGTGAACTAATCATTTTAGTGATAGGAATCTTGATCATAGAATAGAACTCCTAACTATAAAATGGTTAGATTATGGATTGTAAATTAGGTCAAATATTTATGCAATGCAACGAAGCCTTTTTCCTTGTTTATACAACAAAGTGTTTTCTTATACAAAATAAGTGACGTTTTGGTTTAGGACCAGAAGAGACATTATTTTACCCGTAATTGTTGAGTCATGGTTAGTCAGTTGCTTAAATTGGTAAAAAAGTGAAATATGATTGCACGGATTGGTGAAAGAAGCAATATATAGCTCCATAAATTTGTAAAAGTAAAATAAAAAACATTGTTGCATAGTCAAGAATTTATGGAATGAAACATGGTTGCATAATTTTTGTCCCTGTTACAATCTTGGTATGAATATGCATTTAACCTTTTAAATTAACTAGGGAAGTTATATATACACACACACACACACACACACACACACACACATATAGTGCTTTCAGGTGTGTTTTACATCCTTTTTTACTTGGAGAAAGATTTATTTCTTATGAATAAAAGTTCTTAATTCTCATGTGATTGTGGGTTTTACTGGATCTGAGAAGAAAGAAGTGACATTGAGATTTTAGAATGGCATAACGTATGCATATGTATTATATAGCAGTCTCTACCAGTAGCTGGTAGTTACTACTGGTTCGTCTCCTTTTATCAAATGTCTGAATGCCATGAATCCATAGATCATAATCATAAATTCATTCCTCATACATTTGTCTTTTGTGTCATTTGGTGCTCTTATGCTTGTCTTTTATTTTTAGATTGATTCTGAAACGACTTTGCAGGTGTCCGTATCAGGCATGCAAAAGTTGCTGTGCAAAAGCTCAAAATCCATGCCATATACACGGTATGACAACGAATACAGGGTTATCATATCCTAAGCACCAGTGAGTAGTGAGAGATACCCTTTTTCCTATTACAGCATTGTACTTTAAAACCCAAGCTGATTATGGAAACGCCTTCCAAATACCAAATAATTTGCACTAGACCTTTCAAAATACTTTTGATAGTACAATGCTATAATTGGGACATTAGAATGTCTTCCTAAGAAAGAAACTGGAAGTGCAGTGTTATAACTTATATTAGAAAGGAATGGAAACAGGATGCTATAAAATTTAAGTAAGTTGCTATATCAGTAGAAAACCTGAAGGATTTTGAAATTGTTAGTAACAGAAAAAGCTAAGTCTAGTCATTTGCTTTATTGATACCATGTCCATGGTTATTATTATTATTATTATTTTTTATCGCAGTGTTGAAGGGCAATTCATCATTTCCAGATAAGACACCATCCTCAACCTCATCTTTCAACTTTCAGCACTCAAATGAGACATCCTCATCAGGGTAAGTTTTTGTATTTCTATATAGGTAACTGTAACATAATAATAACAATAGTCATACCAATAACAATAACAGTAACAGTTATCCAGTATTCTTAATAGTATAATAGTACACAAGAGTTTTAATACATTTTTAAGAATACAGTGAGCATTGTTCTTTTTTGCAGCCCAGCCAGTTATTACTCATTAGAGTTATTGCATATGAAAGATTAAGATTGTTTACATTTTTTTTTCTTTTCTGAACGCTCTTTGATATTTTACCATTTTATGTTATAAATGAAATTGTAGTGTTTCAAATTTAGTCCATCATATGCAATAGAACCCATTTTCATTTATCTAACTTTTACTGGTTTGTTCCAATGAAATGAATAAAAAAACACTGAAGGGATGGAATGAATTGTTGTTGTAAGAATGTGTTCCCTTCCATTTTGTTAACTTTATTCCTTAGCAAAGTGGGGTTCTTTTTCTTTCCATCATGAAATTGTGGTAGAAGTAGAACCCATTTTCATGATCTCAGTTAATTTACTGATTTATTTTCTAAAAAATAACTAGAAAATATTTTTTAAATTATTACATTGTTATTTATTTTATAGGAATGCACATAGAGTCACCTCACTCAGACAACTCTCCAACAATTTCGCTCAGTTCAACAATTTGCAAACTCCTGCACGTGCAAAGAAGCCACTCACAAGAAAGGTGCATATTCAATTCATGCCTTTTTTTTTTTTCTGGATTAATGAAGTTTATAAAAAAAATATTTCAGAAAATGACGGGCTCACTTTGGGAAATGGATGAAAAAATAAATAAAAGCAAATCTGTAAACAGTTAGAACTTAATGGGGAAAGCTTGCTTTGACTGATACTGATATTCTCTATTAAGTTGTTCGATCTTTCTGCATCAAATTATACAGAAACAGTAGTAAACAATAGTTTAATGACTGAATCGATATGATGGTGAAACTCTGTTGTGTTTCTCTATTTTAACCTTTTTTAAAACCATGTGACTGAGAAAAGTGACAAATTAGATTAATTCGCTAAATTGATAAAATTGTAAGCTTTTTTGTATTTTACCCTTATTCTATAAGGACAATATTTCAAATTACAGAGAAAAACTTGTACCTTAAACCATCCAACTGATTTTTGTCCTCTAATGATTAAACTTATTATTATTATTTTTTATTTTTACGAGGGAAAATACAGAAAGCACAACAGACGATGTATATCAAGGATATTTAATTGCAACAAAAAACACCGATTAAATAGCAAAACTGATAAAATAAGTAAAAGCAGTGTATTTTGATGTTTTATTCTATCACGAGAGTTTCTGAAATTACAAAACTGAATTGAACTATATACAGGAGGCATCTCAGATAAACGAGTGGCGGTTTTCAAAGTTGAAAGAATACAAAGATAGAAACATGGAAATCGAAAATGAATCATTCGATAGATATTTAAAAAATATCAGTTTATTGGAGGACGTGTTTGCCCTAAATTCCAATTTAGAAGGAGAGAATGATACAATGGTATCAAAATTGAAAATTATAAGAAGCGAAAACTTGAGGGATAGGATGCGGTTCATTGTGAACAACGGTTTAAAAAATCTGGAAACTGAGACCCAAGAAACCACCACCACTGGGCCTAAGAAGGCCCGGTATTCTAGTCTGGTTGAACTCAATAAAAAACTAACAAATGCCAGAACCACTGAAGATTTGAAATCTTGTCGGTTACTCAAGTCTCAACTCCTCAATCGATCCGAGGATGCTGAGCCTCAGCAAAAGTCATTAAAATGGTTTACTACGGTTACCATTCATCAAGAAGCTCTTGGTCATATTGATGAGCGGTTTAATGGCCTTAAGGAGATTGAGCAGCTTTAGATTGTGCTAATTAATTATCTTGTATAACTCGTTACTCTTCTTAGTTAAATAAAACACCGGTGGTTGGTTGGTTGATTTTGTTTTGTTTTGTCTTGTTTCATGAGATCGATGGTTGTGTTTCATTGCAATTAATTACATTCTTGTTTTGAAGATCTGGTGGTAAGATTGTGAGTTTCAAGTTGTGTGTCTTTCTTGCAAGATAAATAGGCCTTAAACCCTTATGTAACCCTTGTTACTCACATAAAAATTCAAACATACACA